CCTTCCCAGTATCACTCAGATAGCCAGGCTGTAGTTTCCTGGCTCTCCCCTTTCCACCCTTTTAAAAGACAGACAATATATGCTTGTCCCTAATCCCTTGACACATCACACATATGCCAAGATTTTTTCAAAACCTACAAACAGATTCTGATTCTTGTATATCAGCAAATTTCTTTAGTATCAAGGATGTAATTCATCTGGCTCTGAGCAGATATGTACGGGATTGTGCTCTAAAGGTATGTTACTGGAATATTACGTAAGTGATAGATTGTATAGGTTATTTCAGTGCTTCTGGCCCCTGCAGCCCAATGTACATAAAATGGCTTGGCCTATATTTCTCTGCATTTGCCTCGATTCAACTTTCAAGGATTCATGCCAGCCCTTTATGATTGTGAAATAACATGTATTTGTATTAGATAAGTGACATATATTTGCATTATATGTGCAAATAATGTCACTTCCATATCAGGATGTTCTTTAGAAAGGACATTATTACTTTTTAATTGATGTTTACCTTGCTTTACTATTTTTATTTCAGCTGTTCTTGATTGGTTGTATTGTATGTTATTAGATTTTGATTTACTGAAATTGTATTATTGTTGTTACCTACCTAGAGAACTATTTCATAGCAAGTTATTTTTCAGTCATAAAATACCTTCTTTACCATTACACTTCGCATAGTCCTAGCTATATGTCTTGTAATTCTGGTACTGGAAACATATATGTGGTCAAGTTCTATCTTAAAGAGAAGACATTTTCATAAGGGAGTTGGTGAAAAATAACCTGAGTAGCATATAGAGTAGACATTCTTAAAGATTTCTGGAAATAGTTTTGTGTGTAATAAAATGTGTTGTTTTAGTATGATACCATACTTAGGAACTCAGCTGAGATGCAAATGAATCTCATATGGACTTCACTGAAAGCTTTAGAAATCTTCCAAGAGATTTATGCCATCTAGTAAGCTTTTGTGGAATAAAACTGGAATATTGCTAACAACGAATTTAACATGCCCTGGCTAATGCTGATGTTTACTAGGGACTTGCGACAGGGTCTTTAACAGAGTAGCATCCTATTTATTCCACCCCCCAGAGAGTTTAGGTTGGTTCCCTTACTATTGGCCTTTAGACCACTGGTAAAGATGCTATTGTCTTGCTAAGCTTTTAGTAATTAATGACATTCCTTGATTTAGAGGACTCTCCTATTTCATTAAAGCATCTGTATTTTAGCTGTCTTGGGTTAACTTTTGTGATCATTGCATTGCATTTTTGATGGATTTTCTTATAAGCAAGTGAGGAGACAATTCAAAATCACATTAGATAATAATAAGTTCATTTCTTTAAATTTATAGTTGTTCTTGACTTTTCTAGCCAGCTTACAGGTGAATGTTGATTGCAGGACTATAAAAACAGTTCAGTGTTTTAAGTGCCTAAATTCCATGCATAAGATCAGCTTTTAAAGTGCAGGGGCTAATTACTGTTGAAAGCAAAAATCAATGCAAATTCTTGCCCTGGAACCTGCTGGTCAAGGCCTGTCTTTCACCCCCACCCCATGTAAGAAATCTCATCCATAGGGGCCTTTACAATTCGGCATACAATTCCACCAGCACCATGCCTTGAGGGAGGTCCGTTCCAGTTTGTGTGCCCTATAGATGTGTCCAGAGTTTCCTATTGAAAAGCAGGGCAACTCATTATTCTCCCCAGTGGCCAGTTCTTTGAAACAGTCTCAGTGTTTCTTTGAATTTACCCAGCAGTGCATAATTACATTTTCCTCATTGCACAGGAAAAGAGACTTAGCTGGAGTTTTGGCCTGAGCATTTTGTCCTTGGAATTGCACTGAATCATTGAGCAGCATTTTATTTTTTATATACATTTCCAGATTTCTTGTATTACCATAAGATTCACTCCATGAAACCTACATTTTGCCATCTTGTTTTGATGCTTGCACATGCACATATATTGCACATTTATTTACTCCTTTCTAAAACATTTAGCTCCTGCCTTTTTAAATACTTAAAAAAGCTGGCAGTAAAGCCAAAGAGAAATGGACAAAAAGCCAACAAGAAATTAAATACATTGTGCACTACTGTCCACACCAGAATCAAAGCATTGCCATTCATAGCATGTATTTTATTCCTTCTTTCTTGGGTGAGATCCTTATTTTACCTACTTATTTTCTTCTGTGATGTTCTAAATATTTCACTGTTCACTGAGTTTAAAAAAAACCCTGCTTCACATTCAAAATTGATAAAGAAGTACAAAAGTATACACGGTGTGGAGAAAGCGGGTGTGGGACATTTTCCTCCCTCATAAATCTAGAACTTGGGGTTGTCCTATGAAGCTGATTGCTGGAAGATGAAAGGACAGATATAAGGAGGCACTCCTTCACACAGCACAGAATTAAACTATAGAATTCACCATCACAAGAAGTCATGGTAATGACCACCAATTTGCATAGCTTTGAAAGGGGATTAGACACTTCTTGGAGTAGAAGGCTATCAGAGACTACTGGGCCTGATAGCAATATGCTGCTTCTAGTATCAGAGCACTGTCCCAATGTACCCCAGCTGTTGGGGAAACTGGGTGGAAAAGCTGCCCTGCTGGTGGTGTGGCAAGCGGACCCTGGAGGCTCCCGAAATCCTGTGGAAAGATCCAGAACAGGCAAAGTAAAACGAAAAGCGAAATAAAAACTGGATAGAGACTGAGGGAAAGTCTACCTCCCACACTGACCACTGTGAGTTGGCAGGGCTTGGAGGGTGCTGTACTTCCGCCATGTAACTTCTTTTCACATCACACTCTTAGGGATAGGCTCTGAAATGCAGCATTAGTCAGACTTGGGCTTAAGCTTCTTATACTGTTGTATATCCTCCACTCATTTTAATGAGACCTGGACAAGAAAACTTTCCTGTTTTTAGAGTCGTCTGGGACACAGAATAACCACACACCTTGAACAACTCAAGAAATGCAGGCAAAACCATTAACTCCGCTTGTTAGAATGATGGGCAAAAGGCACCACATAAACGTGTGTCTGGCCACATCCCTCCACTGAAGGCAGGTGGTTGGCTAACGTCTCGTGCACTAACAGGCCCTTGGTGTCCCTTTCTGCTCTGCAGTGGAGGCATCTGAACTATTGCAAACCTAAAACTGAATGAAGTTTACTTTTGCAATCTATATTTGGAGGTGGCTTGAGAATGCTAACCAGGAGGGGATGGTTACCATCAACTGTTCTTTAATTATAGCTTTGCTTGTTCACCTTCCCAAATCCTTCAGATCTTCCAAAAGGAAACAGGAGACATTTGAACTTGAGCTTTGCTGAAATCTTCAAAGGCCTATTTAAAATAGCTTTTCTTTCTTTCTCTCTCCCCCTGCAAAGGGGGAAAAAAGTCTTAAGCATCCAGTACTTATTTCTATATAGAAAAGATTTTACTGGTGGGAAATGAAAAGAAAGGAAAAGAAGAGGAAATTGGTTGAAGGAAAGCATAAAATTGCATCCTAACTAAAATCAAGTTGGTTTTGTTATGGTTGTCTTTTATTGAAGTCATACTTGTTTTTCAAGCCCAGCAGCCAGACCAATCAGGCAGCTATAAGATTAAGTATAGTTTTTTAGCTCTGTGTCTTTTCCTCCTTCTGACAGGGTTGTCCAATTATCAGATTGGCCAGCATAAGACAAAACCTGGCTAGTTTGTCTATTTTCCACAGTAGTTATGACAGACTTTACAGGCTGATCCAGAAGTTCTCTGTTCCTCAAAGAAGGCATCCAAATCAGGCTGGGGCTGTGAGTGGCCACACACAAATTTTAGAGTTGGACGGTACCTCGGATGTCACCTAGTCTAGTCCCTTGCTCAGTACAGCAATACTATGCAGCTCCTAGTACTAATACTACATCTGCAGTCAGATGTCTGCAGAGAAGGAGAGACCCACTACCGCACCTCTTAATGCAGTCTATTCCACTGGGGAACTTCTCTTACTTTCAGGGAAAGCTAGACAGTCTAGATGTTTTACACTCCCCACCAATCACAAGGACTGTTGTGCAGGTCCCTATTCTATTCTGTGCCAGAAGATGGCTCTGGAAGCCTAAGAACATGCGTGTTCAGGCACTGTTCAAGTCCCAGATGGTGAGTTTATCAGAGCAGTGAATAGAGGAATGATTGACAGCAGAAGCCTAAATGGAGTAATGGATGAAGTATGTCAGTAGGAAAGTCACTGAGTAAATAAAGGAGTTTTCATGTGGACAAGAAAGAGAATTTCTGAAAGCAAGTTTGTAGCATTAGAATTTTAGAACCATTATTTATTGCTATTTATCAGATGGTTACTTGCTTTGCATGTGGACCTGTTGCTCACCTCCATGTTTCATATTGAAATGCCTTTTAAATATCTGTGTTCTGACTTGGTAAATTCCAGGCTTTTATCCTTTGTTCATTCCCCCACCCCCAGAAAAGAACCAAAGCTCACAAATTCTTACCTCAAATCACACTACCTTACCATCAAATTATGATGTACCTAGGAGTCCTCCACAGTGCTTTGATCTTTAGAGGGTCCACATCTTAAATTGTAATCTAAGATGGTGTCTATTGTGTCATACTTATGCATCAGGTAAGAACAAAACAAATTCTTCACAAATGTTTTATCATGAGCATGTTTATGCAAAGTTAATTGATTCCAACTAACTTGATTAACTAGGATGGCAGTCCTGCTGAGAACTGAAAATGAACCTCTAAGGCACGAAACAAGAAATGCTGATTGAAGACACTGAGAAAGAATACTCAAAATCATAGTTCCGTCCATCTACTGTTCACATGAACATCTTCCATTTATTATGACATATGTCCTTAATAATAGGTTATATTTCTAAAACATCTATTAGCCAGTATGTTTGGTGGGAAATCCAGTAACACATACATATGCACACAGTGTATCCTTAGTTTTTGAGGCCACATTGTCCTTGTAGCCATTCAGCAGAACTTTGAACACTGACCTCATCCACCCCCACCCGCTGAGCATCCACTAATGTCCTCTCCTTCTTCTCTGGTTCTTGCTTGGAGGTTTTAAGAGGCTCTCTCTGTACTTAGTGTTTGTGTGCAATAGTCGGACCATATCGTGGTCTTTGTTATCCAGCACTCGAGGCAGAAAGAGAGATGATTTCTGGGTCCTACGGGTTTTAAAGCTCCTTCTGGGTCGTCCTTTCCCATTAATCGAGACATACCAGAGTCTCTCGGCACTAGCTTTTCGTTTGCTGCTAGCTCCATTGGGCACAGTCCGGTACAGGTGGGATGCATAAGTATTGTAGCCCAGCTCATGGATCCTTTCTACAAATTTACACTCTGAGTTGTAGGTTTCCTGTAAAGTAGTAACAATCACCATTAGTTAAAGAGAGCAACTAGCCAAACTAAAAAGGATACAGTTCAGTGCTCATATTATCTAACATCCTGCAAACTAACGGTGGCATAGGAAAAAAAGGATACAGCAGGTCTTAGTATAAGCTCCCCTGGGCATCAAAAGCTCCATGAAGTGCACTGGATATGTTCAGAACAAAAACTGTTCGTAAAGCAAGGCTTCCTGTATTTTTGCAAAGCAAAGCAAAACAGGACACTGGTCTCTCCCTTTCTACTTAACATCCAACTACCTGACAGTGCCAGGGGTTGGAGGGGAGGGGGCACTAAATACAGTTCATTAGAGTCTGTTATGTGACTGACAGCCCCTCCTGCAGCTTTGCATGACTGCTGTCAAACATTGGATGAATTCCACTGGTGTCCATCTACCAGCAGAACAGACACGGAGCAGAAAATTCCTCTTCTCCTGCAGCCACTCCCAGATCTGCTCAGTGGACTGGATGTGGCCCCTGCCACCGCCACCCCCCACCCTGAGTGGCATTTGCTACAAACTCTGGCAGTGCCTCCTTTTAAAGGAAAGAAGGGGGCTGCCCCTGCTGAATTTCAACAGGAAAATTAAGTAGTGCTGTGACAATTTCAGCAGCATGGGGCACCTTCTCTGCAGGTTATGGGAAAGAAGTGCTCCCGCCGGTGCTTTAATAGAATGAAAAGGACTGACAGATCTGCGACTGCCGTGTGCATGTCCAGCACTGGTCTTTTTGTGCTTCATTTCATGTGTTCTATTTCTGAATTGTCCAATAGCTGAAGCTCTCTGACTGGTTACATAGATTGAAAATGATTATAATACATTATATATAGTATAAAATCATTTACATACAAACAGTTGAATATATAAACAAACAGCACACACAAAGACACTCATATATCTAAACATTTTTAAAATCATCAATAAGAAAAATCCAGGACTGCTTTTAAGCCTTATCATATGCTGCTAAATGCTTAAAGGTCTGACTGCGGTACCGGGATGATCGTGATATTGATGCCAGGCAAGCCTTGTTGTGGAGATCATTCCATAATTGGAATTGGGGAAGCAGTGAGGTATCCCAGTTTGTAGATGACAGCAAATTATTCAGGAGAGTGAAAAACTCCAAGAAGGGTTGCAAGAACCTCCGAAAGGTTTCCTTCAACTGGCAAATGAGAGTTAATGTAAGGATACTAGTACAGAAGTGAAGCAATGCACCCCCCCCCACCACACACATGCGCACACACGTGTGTGCACACACATTCCAATGGGACCTGAACTGGCTGTGACTATCCAGGGAAGATACCTTGAATTAATCGCTCCCTAAAAATGTTGATGTGATGGCAGTGAAAATGTCAAATGCATAGTAAGGGATTATTAGGAAAAGCGCTGAAAATACAGCAGCCAATATCATATTGACTCAGTTCATACAACATGATAAGCCAAGATGTCTTATCAGCCAAGGTGGTTTGTTATGTCAGCTGAATGCATGGGCACAGTTTGTTAACAACTCTGGCTGGGTACAGACAACAGGACAAGCCATCCCTGGCTTATAAACCACCATAGCTTTATTATGCAGCACAAACTCAGGTAAAGTCTTCATTTAAATTAGTTATGTGGCCACATTTGGAATACTAGGTACAGTACTTGTTCATCCATATCAAAAAAAGTAAATGAAATTAAGTAGAGAAGCGAAAGATTTAGAGATTTTTTTCGTATAGGGAAAAAAGACAAGTGGAAATGTATAAATTTCAAATAGTGTGGTTGAACTGATGGGTGAAGTGCTTCTTCTTTTCTCACAGTACCTATATTTTAAAGAGTAACCAGTGGAATATTGGAAGGGGCTATAGATACTGGGAAATTGACAGCTGCAGAAAGAAAGACATGCAGTCCTAGGGGAAGCAGGTACCTTGGGTCAAGATGCATTGCTGGTAGAAGGAAGTAGAAAGCAAGATGTAGAAGTAGGGCAAGGAGTATTTTCAGAAATTAACTATTGGTTCTATAACCACCTTCCATGTAAACTGGGGAGTTTAGTGGAACATACCTGGTGGTACCCTTTGCACCTGCTGGACTAGAAGTTTGGCCTTTTGACTTGATATATCTATATTAAATGTTATTGCAAAAAACATGAATTCCCTTTTCCAAACTTCTGATAACTTAGTGCTTCCATGCCAGGCATAGTTTGGTTCTTGTGGGACATACTTGCATAAATCATTTTGAAAATGGAAGCAAACCAACCACCACGGGAGACCTGTCCTGTGTCTGACTTTGACAGAGAATGAAGTACACACTAGCATTCAAGGATGCATGAGATCCCTGAAGTAGGTAAATGTGGAGAAAGTGCTGTGCAAGTAGCTCACCTGAAAATGCACCTTCTAGGCTGCTTGACATCATCAGTCATTTTTATTCCACCTGGGAAATGCAAAAACCAGCCTATCCTGAAGATGAGGTTGACAACAGAGATTTAATGCTCCGATTTCCACATTCTGAGGTTCAAAGCAATCATTTTATTGTGGACTGAAATACATCTAAACACTTTGGTCAAGCTGTATTTAATGGGAGCTCTGTGCTCATTTTATCAAAGTACCTCAGGGATTTTTCTGAAGGTTATTCTATTACAGGACTGGGCAATTTGTGGGCCCCAAAATGTTTTATTTTGTAACTACCCCTTAGCCAATGGTGAGGAATAATAGGAGGTATAGGCTACAACATCTGGAAGGCCACTGGTTAACTGTGATAAAATCTGCAGGAATGACTCTGACCAAAACGGGGTGCTTTATTCTACAAGGCAGACAGTGGACCAAATACCCACTGGGCATTTGTCCAGGCCTCAGGCGGTCGCTGCTGGATAATTGCTTATACACACGTCTTCATGTACTTCATGGAAGCAAAATTAAATGATAGCATGGCGGAATATTGCAAATTATCCAGGCAATTATGGCAATGCTTACATTGAATCAAAGGAATGAATGTACCAGTAGACAGTTAAATGCTTAAAGTCCACTGACTTCAGTGTGTCTAGAGCAAGTGTCCCCAGGTACGTGCGCCCATTTTCCATAGATACAATCCTGTTTCTTTTTTGCAATTTGCCACACTCCTGATGCTTGGAGCTCTGGATCCTTTACTGCTGGCCTGAGATGATTTTAAAAGGTTATAGGGAATTCTCTGTTAGTCCAGCAGAGGGAGTAAGTAGGCCCATGTGCCACTAGAACGGTTTCAGTAGAGCAGGGCGTTCGCAGGGCCCCATATGACTAGCACGAATCCAGGGTTGCGAACTGAGCCCTTGAAAATATAAGGTTGCATAAACAACATCATAATAAAGAGGTGTTTAGTGAACTGAGCTCATTTCACGCAGGGTGCCGATAAACAAGTTGCCATGATATATAGAGATGAGCTGGGTGTCAGTGTTCTGTTGCCTTGCTCAAGTGCCTTGGCCATCCAGCTTCCACCAGTTTTTGAGGGTATGTTTCTGAATCTGAGCATTTCGGGCCAAGATAGGTGTTCTGTTAGTATGCCAGCAGAGTGCTCAACCGTCTCCCTATCTGAGCTGGTCAATGTGGTCTCAGAGGTGACACAGGAATCTCCAAGGTGGCTGTTCTGGGAGACTTCCATGTTCATTTTGAGGTCCTCCTGTCAAGGTCATGGAACTGTTCCTGGCTCCACATGTTTACCTGGATTTGTTTTTACCCTTTGCCTGTATCTAATGAGGATGATCTGAGAGGTTGGAGAGCTTACCATTGTTTCATTGTCTCCAACAGATCACTCTCTCTCTTTTCTTTGCAGAGCCTGGGACCAATTAGGATGGTCAGTCAGAGGAAAATGAAGGCTCTAAAGAATTACTGCATAGCCTTAGTGGTTTTCCTATCCCTCAAGATGGCAGTCTTGTTGATGTCTTGGGGGGTAGTTCAAACATCCAGTCATATTATACCATTTCATATATTCCTTCCTGAACTGCACCACTACAGACTACAAACTGGGAACAGATCAGAACTTTGAATGCTTCCTGCATGTGGAAAGCAAACCTGTGAGGAAGAAAAGTGCTAGTGCTACCCTGCATTTTCTCTGATTTCTCATATGAATCCATGTTTCACTTGTGTTAGGAAGCAATGAAATCTGCTCCCTAATAGCAACTTCTGGTTTCAACCTGTAGAATACAGAATGGCACTTTATTCCCTGCCATTTCTGTTTATTTGTGTAGGAGATCAATAGGAGATACTTTAATTGTCCCAGATTTCTTTTAATGAACAGAGGACTACAAGAGCAATATATCCTGAGAAACTAAAAATAAATTAGATGTTTGTAAACCTCTGTCTAGCTCAAAGGAAATGTATTCAAGTGTGTAAAATCTGGTGTGTTTCTGGTGTTTGCTGTGACAGACAGACACAACTACCTGCCTGGTATTTGCTAGACAATGAAAACACTTGATGAGGCAGGTCTCCTCAAAGATGTACTAGACAGAAACCTCCCCCTTCTTTCCTTTTTTTGCATAATAGATCAGAAGAATGAAAGATGGTTCCTAAAGGCAGAAGTTCCTTGTACCAAGGTGAGATCCCAGCATCTTCATCCATTTGAGCAGTTGCCTTTTCTTTTGCTGTTTTCGTCTGTCCCATTTGCTCTGTCCCCTCCAATATGCTGCGTGAGTGGAGGGAGACAACATCACCCTCACTTTTAATGGGAATCAAACTTACTGAACTGAATAAATCCAATCCTGCACCCCAAGGGGAAAAAAGGAAAGGAAGGGAACCTACATATTGTATTCTTTCGCCACAAGTTGTGGCGTGGTTTTGGAAATTCCCAATTGTAACTGCATTGCACTTCATTGTACTCGTGTGCAACTTTTTGGTTTTGATCTTCTGAGAAGCATCAAAGAAAATAAGTTGTCAGCAGTGCTCTGGAAGGAAGGCAGGCAGGCAAGCAGGCAGGCACGCAGGCAGGCAGGAAGACAAAGTAGCATGAAAGCTCCTGCAGCTATTGTCTGAATTGGACAAATACAATCCTCCAAAAGGGACTGCCATGATTGAAAAATACATTCAATTTTGATAAACAAAAGTTACAAACATTGTTGCCTTCCAGTGGAAAGCAAGATGATTTGAATTTCCCAACAAAGATCTGAATTCAGATTCAGGTGGAAATCAGTCCAAGATCAGCTAGACTTTTTTTTCTGAAGCAATAAACTGGGATCCAAGCCTAATCTTTTGGTTGGTACACACCCTAATTGAAGGATGTCTGAAATAATAGATACACAAAGCTGATCGTTCCTTCTTACAAGGGAAGGTCATCTTTAACATTGCCTTTGTTGTTCTCTGTTTCAGTAAAAGACCAAAAAAAATAAAAAAAGGCCTTGTTTATTTCTAATGGATTCTCAGCCTCACTGATGGAAATTTGCCCTTACTGGTTTATTTTGGCCTCCAGCAATGAAGCAGCCACAGCATTATCTACTAATGTTAGTATTTCATATATATTACAATAATCCATAACTCCAATCCTAGATGAAATGATAGAAATATTCTAAATCAGGAGCTTCTCAACCAACCCTCACTGATGCCTGACTGAAGCCCTGGTGAGTGACTACTTCAGAATGCCACATACTCTAGGCCGAGTTTCTTGTAAGAAACTGTGGGATCAAAATGGAATGAATGAATGATTGAATGAATGCAATCAGCCATGAGCCACATGTTGTACAAGAGTTACTAAGACAGAGAATAGGAATTTTTCCTCTTAGTGCTACAGATGCAAGTTTCTGTTACTTTTCCCACCCATCTGCTCACCAACCAGCCCACATGCATTGTGATGGCTTTCCATTCAATTATTTGTGCTATGAAATAGGAAAAGATATAATAAAACTCCATTTCACCCATCCTTCTGACTGCCAATGCAATACCTCTCAAATTCTCAGTAGCATGCAGAATGGCACAGAACATAAAATATTGTATCATACATACCAAGAGGCCTGATCAAAGTATGAAAACCTAATTGCAAATTGTTGGGGGGCAGGGAAAGTGAATGCAATTTAATTTACACATTCTTTTAGTCTGTTATCAGCTTTGTTGCTGCACCTCTGGTGTTAGATCCCAACTTAAATTACTTTACACATGCTGAGAGGTCATTCATTACCTTGTGTAAATGGGACTCCCGTTGACATCCCTGAGAGAGTTTCCTTTTGAAAAGTTTCCTGATCATATTGTCAATTGTACATTTCCTTACCTCTTTCACCTGAATGCTTTACTCACAGTCTTTAAATTGATCTCTCAGAATGCACACTTGTGCCATTATAAATGCTCACCTATACCACCTTTTTTATGTACAAACTGGATGTTTCAGTTTGGCTGAGAGTCTGCACATGTTCAAGGAAAATAAGTGTGTCTCACACTTGCCATTAAGTTCCAGCTAAAAGCTTCCAAGTTTTGGCTGACTTTCTCCCCAATGTAAAGTGAAATAATTTATTTTTGACCTCCAGAAATATTTCTACATAGGAAGTAGAATGTGTACCCTCTTGACTACAACGGTGTTTAAATCACCACTGAAAATAATTGGCACCTCAGTGGAGAATACGTTAGATGCTTGGCCTCACTTAAGATGATTCTGTTTAAACAGCACTTACTGAAGCATAAAGTCTGCCTCTTTCATTCATGGCGAGGTATCTGCCAGAGAAACAGCCTTTGATAGCAACAATCCCCACATCCACTGCAGTGATCTCTAGGATACCTTGAACAGAAATGCAAACATTTTTAGATTATTCATATACATAGACATATTAATAGTAGTCACTCACAAATTTCATAGGCTTTTACTATTTCAAACCTCACATGCTTACTTTGAATTATGCCCATTTTATTTCACTGGGACATTTCAATATGCTTATCCTAGTTCTGTGCCTGCTATTCTCCCAGATGCTCCAGAGGGCGGGATCAGGAAGAGAAGCACCGATTCCATATAAAAATATTCCCCAGCACTGAGATGGATGAGGCAGCCAGAGTCTGCATCAAATATAAGTGGGGCTTTTGATCCCAATCAATGTGTTTCCAATGGGCATGTCATTAGGCAAAATGTTTTGAGCTCTTCCATTCTTCCTCCCAATAAGTTTGTAAAGATCATTATAATTCAACAGAAAATGAGAGGCTAAGAGCAACTTGCTCAAGGCTCTCAGCTCAATCCAGAAGCATGCCAGACTTTTGAACCTGGGGCTCTCTTGCTTCTCAACCTGATAATATTTACTTATCATTATCCTTCTTCACTCTAGAAGTTATTATCCTTAGTAGTACCACATGCACAGGGCCAGCATTTACTTCTAAATGCATCATCAAATTCTAATGATCAAAAGTGACAATACACAAGAAAATAAGAGCATGGGAATTGTTTGAACCAAATTCTTACTAGTAAATCCCCAGCTGTTTGATTGAGATTTAACTGCCTCCGGAAACAAAGATCTGACATTGAACTAGAGGTTCACCTAATCCTATATGTCTATAAAAAGTTTAAATCCCCTTTAATGCCTTTCTTAGGGACACAAGAGTGCTTGACTTATTGAAAAAAACCACAAAGCTTCCCATTTCAGAACAATACTCTTGCTGTGGTCTCCAGAGGGCAAAATGGAGTAAGACGATCGGCTGCAGCATCTTAGAGCCACTGTGGAACCATGAAAGGAGTCTGCCATTTAGAAAGTCAGCGCAGCCCTTGGGAAAAGGACAATATGGCTGTCTAAGCAAATTCAAAGAGAGGAAATGTTTCAGCCCATCAAAGAAAGTATGTCAATGCCCAGACAAGTGGAACGAGGAAGGCAAAGGTATGCATCTCTTAGCCTATGGAAAGTTCACACATTACACAGCAACAAACCAAGGTTTGCCACCATGTATACATCCAACAGAACTATAGTAATATAATCTCTTTGCTGAAGGTACTCATATGGCACAATTTTTAAAATAATTATTTTGCTTTTCTTCCCAAGTCTCACAGAGTTTTATAGGAAAAAAACTATTAAGGACATACTTGTATATATGTTTAGGGATGAAAAAAGGCCTACATATGAGGGTTATAAGCTCTTTCTGTATAGGAGTGCACTTTAGATCACAAAATGCAAACTCTTAAGCATGCACTGGAAAAATGTTTACAGGAAAATCGATGCATTGGAAACACGGTCCTGGAGGAGAGTTTTGCAAATATCCTAGACCAACAGAAAGATGGACAAGTGCGTCCTAGATCAAATCAAGCCAGGACTTGCCCTGGAAGGAAAATTGATAAAATTGAGGCTGTCATACTTTGAGCAAATCATGTGGAAAAAGGACTCATTGGGAAGACAATCATGCTCAGGAAAATGAGGAAGGCCACCTATGAGATGGCTTGATTCCATAGAAGAAGCCACGGCCTCTAGTTTACAAGAGCTGAGCAGAGCTGCCAAGGACATTCTGGAGGGATTGCCATAAGGTAGAGATGACAGCACATAACAGCAATAACTGGAAAAGCATTGATATGACGCATATTATAATTTGCATTTCAGATTAAGACAGCGGCATTTTCATAGTTTATTACTGTTGATCCTGAGTTTAGGATCTAAGTTATCAAGAAATTATTCATGCTTAAATAATGGAGAAGATTCTTTAGGGTACAATCTGTTACATGTTTAACCAGAAGAAAGTCCTACAGCTCCCAGCTAGCATGGCATGAGACTGCACCCTTATTTTTTATTTTTAAAAAGATACTACTTTCTTGCCTAAAATAGGCACCATTTATTGTGGAGTTATTTGCGCTCTTTGAAACTGGCTTCTGGGCACAATTTGCATGTAGTACATCACTCAGAGCAGTCCTAAGATTACTTTGTACTTGCTGGGATGCCCTGGATCTCCTGATCACAGATGCCCACCACTGGTGGAGATGCTACACAGTGTAATGTATTCCCACTGCAACTGCAACTCTGCCGAGAGAGGGGCTGGGAAAGGTGGTGATGGGAGCATGACAGAGAAGGAGAAGGCTTGATTGTTATCCGTCCCCTTCAGATTTCACTGGCATAATGTTACACCCACAAAAGAGGCAGTGTGAGTCAAAACGCTCCCAACCAAACTCAGCAGAGAATGAAAATCCAGTGCTGCAGCTGGGACTGAGGAAGCAGCACAGCACCGGCAGGGGGACCAGCAGTTCGGCCCTTTTCCACAGGTGCAAATGCACGAAGCGGGAGGATTCTATGCTGATATAAATGGTCTGCCACCACAGTAGAGCCACAGAATCACCTTTAGCCCATGTGTCCTTGGGTTGTGTGTAACAGCACTTTATGCTTTTAATAGGCTGCCAGTGTGAACTGCCGCCCTTTAAAAGGACCGTATTGAAAGTATTATTAAAGCAGTATCTGTTGTGTGTTGTGTTTGATCAGTGAGGACTGTTTTGCATGTGCAAATTGTCATGTTGGATTGAGTGATTAAATCAAAACATAATGCAGAGGTTGTGTGTGTGTGTGTGTGTGTGTGTGTGAGAGAGAGAGAGAGAGAGAGAGAGAGAGAGAGAGAGAGAGAGAGAGAGAGAGAGATGAGACACTCAGCAAAGAATATCCTGTCCTTTGGAGATGATGATGATGATGGTATGCGTCAAGATGGAATTCTTTAGGATCCACTACCCTGTATCTTAGAGGAGAATGCTTGGACTAAATGAATCCTTCTCAGTACTTTGATTCTATAACTTTTGGTTTCCTCAAGGTTGGGGAAACCCAAACCCATAACCCAGTGGAAGGGTTCTATGTGGTCCATTGGAAGAAAAAAAATGCTTTACATCTGTCCTAGAGCTGAGAAGGATGAGGAGAGATGGCTTGCTGTAAATTGCACTCGTGGAAAATGTTTCCTTTCCTACTTGCAGAGCATTTTTGGGAGCCTCAGCCAAACCTTTACAGAGTGCCTATACATCAACTGTTATTTGGTCATTTGGACTACAAAGTCATGCAACTTCACATCCCACTGAGTGCTGGCCTTCAGCAGGCCATGCCCTTAGCGACATTCTGGTGGATGATCTGCAGCTGAATGTGTGAACAGGGTGCCATTTTTTTCTTGATAAAAAGGTGGGGTCCAAATAAAATGCAGCTATAAAGAGAGTGAGTGTGGTGTGGTGGTTAGAGTGTTGTATTGAGAATCTGGGAGCTCCAGGTTCTAATCCCTGCATGACTTTGGGCCAATCACAGACTCTCAGCCTAACCTACCTCACAGGATTGTTGTGAGGATAAACTAGAGAGAAGAAAGAGGATTATGTAAGCCACTCTGAGATCCTTGAAAGGAAAAAAGGCAGGATATAAATATAATTTACGATTCATGAAACAAATAAACAAACTGCTTCCATGGACAAGAGTTGTGTAAATGATAATACTGAGAGATGGAGAACCCTGCCAGTGACAGCTATTAAACACTAAATGAATGCCATTCATGGAAGTTTTAATCACCAAGGGATTAATGTGGGTGCGTGAATTCACTCTAACTCTCCAAGTGCAATATTTACCCAATTTGTCTCTATTTCCTTAAAGGCTGACAGTCTATTCAGTAAAGGGCAGGTATCATTTCCCCTGCCCTAACAGTTCATAGGAAGAAAGGACTAGAAAAACAAACAGACTGAAGTGTGAAAATCATCTTGAAACGTTATTTACAAAACTCTGGTTGGATAGTTGAATGACTCCTTCCACCCCAGCCTGGTGCTGGAAAGAGAGATTCTGATGCTAAGGAGTCCTGGGAAGTCACACCTTCTAAGACAGATAAGCCAAGTGACAGACACTAGTTTAGCCTTGTCTTTTGTAAACTCCAGAAAGCGCTGCAACCCACAGGGATGAGTTCTTGGAGAGATGATGCAAGCACACAAAGCACAGAGATGCGGAGGTGCTGTTCAGTCCTGGGAAGGCTTCTGGGAGCCCGGACAAAAGGGAGAGGCTTACCACTGGGAGGAAGTCCTTTGGGCTCTGCACTCCCCTTTTTTAAGGGAGAGGCAAACCTGAAAAGACCCTTTGCTTTGAATTCTTGGCAGCCTTCTCCTTTGTGCCTCTTGCTTCCTACCCAGATGGGTGGAGGAACAGCCTAGTGTGTGGGTAACTCTAGAAAGCTGATTTTTAAAATCACTTATATCTCTCCCCTCACACCGTCCAACAGCAAAAGGGGAAAAGATCCCATCCCCAGTAATCCCAGACATGATGGACTGATGTGAACTTACACCTACGCCACCCACCCCTGTTCCCATCATGCCCTCAGTTTATGATCACAGAGTAGTTAATCTGAAAAGGGAGAAGCAGGAAACAGAGGCGGATTACCTGGAGCATGAACAAACCACTAAGATCCTGAGGAAATCCTAAGTTTTTAGATAAGGTTTTCCCAGCCTGTGTCCTCCAGACTTTCAGAGTGCATCTCCCAGCATGCCAAAACATGCTGGCTGAAGTGGATGGAGAGGGACGTCCAGAATAACTGGAGGTTTTGATGGAAGAAGGCTATCTTAGAGCAAATGACACTGACTCAGAATTTCTCCAGCTCTACTCTGTAATAATTGGAAGGAGGTTTGCAAACAGGCTACACAGCCAAACGAGTGGTGTTCTGACCCTTGACAATACTGCCTGGCCTCATTGCCTGGACCTGCTTCTTTCTGGAATGGTGGGGTGGTGGTGAGGCTGAAGTGAAGCCAGGTTAGGGAGTCTAATTCCTTAAAAAAGAAAGACCGGGGATGGAGCTACTGAACATCTCCATCTAACCTGCATGACTTCCTAGCTAGCCACTTCAGTCTTACCGAATATGTGCAAAGCCCCAGAGAAAATCACTTTGCACCTGATCAAAAGGCAGCAGCAGATTCAGCATGCTCCACGGTGGGGCACTTCCTCAGGCCTTAATTCTGGCCTTCCCCAACAAGATGTGTTTATCTCTCCCATCATCCCCAGGACACATCTGAAAGGCACTGGGTTGGAAGAGGCTGCTTTATCCCAAGGATCTTTCTATAAAAACGGTCAATCATGGTTGATCTTGGCTGCATAGAAAGTTATTGATTATACAGCAAGATTGGAGAACGGTTGGAATTGAGTATCACTGCGACTTAGCATCTGTCTGCTCCCTAAAATCAGCTTTAAGGGGATTAAAAACGGGGATTCGTTGCTTTGATTTTTAGTCATAGGTTTGCTTTTTTTTTTCCAAGAGAGTACATTCTGATATTCCATGTCCCCCATCGACCCTCGTGCCCCACATCCTATCTGTTTAAGAGCTGAAATGGGGTCTGGAGTTAAGACTTGTTCAAATTTAGCGCGGAATACCGCTAAGGTGTTATAATCTAGCCGGGGCATGTGCGCAAGACGTCCCAGAAGGACGAGCCAAAATCATAGTGGTTTTTGTCGCAGTCGTCGTCCCTCATGGGGGGTCGGGGTGGTTAAAAAAATCTCATCGCGGGAGAGAAATTCGTCTCACGCCGCCTCTCAAGCCCGAGACGCTGGGCAAAGCGAATCGCGGCGTTCCCGGCCCGTTAATCGCGGGAATCCCTCCACGTGTCCTGCAAGGCGCCTTGGGCGCAAATGAGGCGGCGCTCTTATTTCTGAAGAAGCAAGAGCCGCGTGAGCCCGAGCGCGGGCAGGGCGAGGCGCGGCGCGCTCGGGCCCCCGAGCGAGGCCAGGGAAGAGGCCGGGCCCCCGAGCGAGGCCAGGGAAGAGGCTCGGGGGCCGGCGGGGCGCGGCCAGGGGCGCAAAGCCGCGCGGCGGTACTCACTGAAGACGCTGTTCTTCTCCAGCGTGCCGTTGATCTTGCCGTTGGCGTGGATCTGGAGGTGATACTTGGTGGCGCAGTACAGCTTCCGGTGCCGCGGCGCTCCGCCGAGATGCTCGTAGACGCCGCCGCGCCCGCCGGCATCCCTGCGCCCGCGCGCGTCGCACGCACGCCCTGCCCGGCTGGCGCAAGGCAGCGCCGGGGCGGCCGCCGGCAGGCTCCGCAGCAGCAGCAGCAGCAGCAGCAGCGGCAGCGGGGCGAGCCGGGCGCCGGTCACCATCGTGGCATGGCGCGGGCGGGCGCCCGCCCAGCAGCGCTCAGCGCCCCGTGGGCGAGCGCGGCGCAGGGGCGGCGGCGGCCCGCCGGGGGAACCGCGGGCGGCGCGCCGGGCCCCGCATGGGCGAGCTGGCGCTGCTCGCGGCGGCTGCGTCCTGTTTGCTCGCCCGCTCGATCTGCTCCCCCGCGCTCCCTCCTCCCTGCCCCTTTCCTTCCCCCCTAAAGATGTTTTAGATCTATTTAAATGGGCCGGCGGCGAGGGGGGCAACCCGAAGAGGCTCCGCTGCCCGAACGAGGCGGCGTTCTTGTGGCCATCTGCAGCCCGTGGGCTCCCGAAAGGCAGCCTTTCTGCAGGCGGGCAGGGGGGGGGAGGGAGGGGGAGGGCGACAGAGAGGCCGACGGGGAGGGGAGGGGAGGGAGAGGGGGAGCCCCGCAATTCTGCAGGAGAAGCAATGGGGACGTTTCGTTCACCGCCCGAGCGTAATCCGCAAAGGCGCTCCCCGAGCAACCGGCTCCTCGCCACAGCGCGGGTGGTGCGTGTGTGTGTGTCGCGGGGGGGGAATCCTCGTGGGATCGGCCAGGGCATAGCGTGGGCGCAATGGCTCAGCATCACGTCCGCCCACAAACACACACGCGGGGACGCACGCACGCACCCACGGTGGCCTTTGGCCGGCGACCGCGCCGACGCCCACAAGAGACAGACTTTTTCCGAACACTCCCGAAAGAGCACCAGCAATATCAAATCACGCCAAATTAAAGAAGATGGGCATCTCTGCAAAGTACATGCCTGGGAAATCACATCCCCGGCCAGCTCGGCTTCTCCCGATTCTAGATCACCACCTGTGTGACAAGGAAAATGACTGATGTCGAAGGATCTTTTTCATAATAATAACCATAATAATAATAATAATAATAATAATAATAGTAATAAGTTCGTTTAAGACGGAAAGAACGCCTAAGCAAAGAGGAATGGTCACCCCCTCAGAAGGCGGCTGGGGAAAAAAAAATCAAAGATGTCACACGGTGTTTGATTATTTAAACTATTTTCCTTTTTCTTTAATACCGAATGAAATCACTTATTCACTATCTTTTCTCCAGCTTGCTGGAAATTATTTAAATTTTTATTTTATTATGCATGAAAACATTATAAACAGTCATGAGATTTTTTTAATTAATGACGGTATAGAAAAAAATAATTTGATATGTTTTAATTTAATCAATAGATAACAAATGAAGAGATGGATGGGTGGATGGATCGATAGATACTAAAATCTAACATACTGGTTGCTATTCATCCTTTGCAAAACTCCGTGTTAGAGGTGATTTTTTAAAAATAATAGTTTGCTAAATGTATATATAGAAGCAATGTAAATGATTTAAAGCTGTTAAATGAATTCAGTTACCATGGTGTTTAGTAAAAACAAAGCATCTTGTGGAGATGGGGATGTCCAGGTAATAGGCATTAAGCTATTCAAAATCACCTTTAACTGAAGCTGTGTGTGTATGCGTGTACAGATGCAAGCCTATGCAGTCTTCACGTCATCCTGTGCGGGTCCACTCAGAATTAAGTTCCATTTGCGTTCATTACTCCAGGTGCATAGGGGCAGGAATGCAGGCGAAATGCGGAGAGGCTTATTCCTAAATACATGTGCCCAAGGACCCCAGAAATATTAACAGCAATGGGCTTTTCTGTCTTCACTGGATGCATAGAACATTGAGAAAATTCAAGATATTCAGTTTTGTCCTTGGACGAAATGGCTGGAAAAGAGGGGTTGTCCGAGAGGAATGGTAGGCAAGTAATTCCTCCTGGGCAGTGCGATCCTATGCCGAAGCAAAAGGCATTTCATCGATCCCTTGTCTGGCATGTGGAACAGAATTAAATATAAGAAACCCACAATGAGAATCTTTCATGGGAAGCCTGCCCCCTTTTCCACGGGGTATCCTCCTATCTCACAAACAGAGCTTGATGTGACCGAAGCATTTCAACGGAGAAAGGTTCGGACAATCACACACACACACACACACACACACACGAGCGCGTTGTGAACTTCCCAGGGAGCTTCGGCTGTTGGGCGGTATAGAAATTAATTAAATAAACGCTCATAAATAAATATGAATGGATGGACTGACACACATACATATCGTTCCACAGTTTTCCTTTTGGGGCACACGATCCAACCAAAATCTAAGGATTGTTTGTCTGCGTGTTTGCTTAATGCCCTCTCGATTGACTTTGATGGATAGGTTTGAAGAGCTACTTGGGAACACGCGTTGGAAAGGCACGGCCATCGATCTCCTTTCCCCTCCTCTCACGTCTCCGCGCGTGTTCTGATTTCTCCGAACGTGCGAATCGCGGAAACGGGGTGGCGAGTGTTCTGCGGGCGCCGGGCGCGCCTCCGCCTCGTGGGACTTCTCCCCGCCCGCCCGGAAGAATCGCACGGTTTCCCTCGTGGGCCTGCCCAGAGCGACACGTTAATGAGACGGGCTCCCGTGGCTTCCATGCTGATCGCATTATGGTTACTGTCCTCCTAATTAGCGCCTCCACCGTCAGCATCCGCCCCCCCCCCCCCCCCGGGCAGCCCCCCCCCCTCCCCCCCCCCCCCCCCCCCCTCCGCGGGCAGCCCGCGCCCCTGCTCTGCCCAGCGCCCAGCTCCGCAGAGCCAGCCGGCCGGCTCGCTCGAGTCCGCGGCCCCTTCCCAGGGCAGCGCGAAACGGCTGGCCGGGAAGGGCTCCGGGCGAGCTGCGCAGAGCCCGCGGCCACGCAGACTTGCGTCCGCCCAGTTAAACGCAGGCCCACTGCCTGGACGCTGCAGTCGTCTGGCGCGCTTCCCCCGCCCGATTCTTCTGCTTTTAAACCCAAACAGGGCGCTTTGATGTGGTTGAATTCGAACCGAGGGCGGGACGTCAGATGTGGTCGAGAGAGTCTTGCTGGAAATATTTTTGATTACGCCCCAAAGCTCTCTTTCTCTCTCTGCAGCCCCAAAGTATTAATCAAAGGGCATTTTCGAGTCTGTTACTTAATGTGGAGGAGGAGGAGGAAGTGCTTTGCAGGCTAAATTAGCCTGGAATGATCTATTAATTCAGCACAAACCTGTAATTGGAAGCGGGACCTGCTCTCTCTGGCCCGTCACTGGCTGCTTCGCGAGCTCTTCGCGAACGGGTTCTTGGATGCTGTCTGCTCTTGTTTTTAAGCCGGTAAGGTTACGCACGCTTAAACCCTGGTAGACTCTTCGGGACTGAATTTTTGCGGAATTGTGCTTTTTGCGGAACCTCTGGCCCTCCAGATGATGTTGGACCCCAGTTCCCACCAGCTCCAGACAGCATGCCCAGCGGTCGCGGAGCTGGAAGGTGCAGCTGGACAGGAGGACCACAGGTTCCCCCCTCCCATCTAGGCAGTTGTCCCCGTTTCTCCCACACTCCCCCCTCCGCCAAAAGTAAAGTAATGTAAAGTAAAATCAAATAAATCAAATCCTAGCACACTCCCCTAGGCAAATCTGGCAGGCTTCCCCTAAACATGTGCACTTGGAAGCAAAGCCCAGTTGATTTCAGAAGCAGACGTACTTCTAAGGTCAACGTCCAGCAGCGCCCAGGGAAATTCAAAGTCTGAACGCATCGTTACTCGGACATACGTCCAAGCGGCGTCGATAGAAATTGCTTCTAGGTGAGAGGCAATTCTAGATCATACGGAAGCGCCTCGTTTGCTCCTGAGTGCCAGCTGCAGATTTCGACAGAGCCAAGAAGGCTGCCGCGCAATCGCGCGCAATCTTACTGGGGAGGAAAGCAAATCCCACTGAATGCCGCGGGGCTTGCGCTCGTAGGATCACGCTGGGCAAGCTCCCCGAAATCAGGAGGGGCTGCTTTCTAGGAGGCTTAGGACTGGGGGGCAGTTCAGTCAAGGGGCACTGTATTCCCCGTCAGTCTTCCGGGCTCATTCTCTGGCCTTGAATTCTACCTGCCCTAACTGGGAGAGCAGCAGCTGTGTTGGACTGCAGCTCCCAGCATCCCCAGTCAGCCTGCCGGGTGCGATCTTGGAAACCTATGCTGCCTTCTGCCAACTCGAACACGCAAGGGGAGGGCGGTTGCTTCTCTGCTCAAGCTGGAGAGCGTTTGCCCGCCTCTCTGGCGCATCCGAGACGGTCCGTCCCCTCCAAGCGCGGCGTTTCTGCGGAGCCTCCTCGGACGGGAGTGATTGACAAGAGGCGCGGAGAAGCCTGAGGCGAGGAGGAAGCCGCAATTTGTACAGCAACGAGTGCCAAGGCAGGGCGGGAAGTGCGGGGCGAGGAGCGGGACCCCCGGGAGAGGGCGAAAAATGGCCTCTCTTCGCCACTTAAACACCCATTACTAGTTTAAGCACTGGCCGTGGGAAGAGCAGTAAAGACGGGCCGCAGGTTTGCTGCCCCTGCAAAGCTTTCTCTTCCCTGCAAGTAAATACCAGACCTCGAGGAAGTCCACACCTGTCTACCTGCAGGATAACAGATGGCAGGGGCTCGGCTAGGCCATCCTTGCTGGCCTTCGCGGCCACTGCTTGCCCTGGATTTGATAAGAAACAGAGACAGAACTGGGTGTCATATGTGTATTGGTGACACTTCAGCTCATACCTCTGGATAACCTTGACCAGCACTTTCGGGTAGATGTCAAACAGCACAAGGGATAAAAGAGAGCTCTGAAACTGCAGAGCATAACTGGAAAGGCACAGAGCAATAATCCTTCTGAATGTGGCCATCCAAGTAACAGTGCAACCGACCACAATGCAGTTCCTCTAACTCCTAATCCAGATGACCAATCCAGAAGAATGCCATGGTTCATGGTGTCAAGGGCCACTGGGGGATGCAAGAGAATCAACCAGATCACACTCACCTATCCAGCCTAGCAAGGATTCCACAAGGTGAATGGGCAGTTTTTGTTCCAAAACCATTTCTGAAGCCCTTCTGAAATGGGTCTTAGATAATCAGTTTCATTCACAAGCACCTAAATTAGCACCCACCCACTTAAACACCTTGCCCA